CAACCGATTTGAATCGTCACATATTTGAATCGATTTTCAACCGGCTCGCGGTTAATCGTTACATCCCTACATGTGAAGTAAAATTGAGATATCGAATTGAACCGAATCGATGACATGATAACCGAACCGTGAGACCAGTGTAGGTTCACACCCCTGTAGTCGAAGCGGTTTCTGGCTCCAGTTTGACTCTTGTTTCTGTGACTCCAGCAGGTTTACGCTCCTCGACCGCCGGATCGGGTGCGTCTGTCGCGCTTCCAACCCACGTTCCCGTATCTCTCTCACACCATCATCGACCTCCCGCCCACCATCGCTCTGTCAGACGGAGAGGAGCCTCCGCCGTACCAGGGCCCCTGTTCCCTTCAGCTGCGGGACCCGGAGCAACAGCTGGAGCTCAACCGCGAGTCGGTCCGAGCGCCGCCCAACCGCACCGTGTTCGACGGTCCGCTCATCAGCGCCGAGGGCGCTCCTCCAGCCTACAGCGAGGTCATCGGACACTACTACCACCCCACATCAGTGCCGCGGCACGCACAGACCCAGTCCACACCGCCGCTGGTGCAGGGCTTGATCCACATCAGCCACACGGACAGCAGAAACACACGCAACAAAGACAAACCCAAAGCCCAGCTCGTCTAACGCCAGCGAGAACTTCCTGCTGCACAACAAGATGCGGCTTCTCTTCCTCTTCCGTTGTTGCTTTCTCACTCAGACTTTCTGTTAATATTTACGTGTTATTATTTGTCCTCAACACTCTTAGGCTGATGATGCATGGGCCAACTTTTTGAGCAGTGTTGCCGGGCAACTTTGGTTAATGTTGCTGTCAACGGCAACCAGGTGAGACACAGGACCCAAGTATCCAGATAGAAATGTGTTACCTATTTTCAGTGGGAAAGTGCCCAAGCAACACTGCTCAAAAAAAGTTGCCCGGCAAAATTGCTCAAAAAGTTCATCATCAGCCTTCGTCTCTCTCTGTACTCTGACAACAAACAAAAACCGCTTCCTTTCAGCCCATTTCCCTGAGCGATGGAGAACACTCGGTCTTCCTTTTAGAAACATCAATCGGAGTCTTGTGATTCTTCATCGCAGCATTTCTGTCAAATGTGCATGACTTCCTCATGAGAGTTTTGCACAACATCCGATGCATCAGACTGTTCCTGCAGCATACGCTGCTTCAGCGTTAATATACGTGTGTGTATATAGGCTACTATATAAATATATATATACATGGAAAACATGAAAAAACACGATTTTAGAGTTATTTATATAAATGTCTAAAATTGCACTATTTTTAATATAACGATATGACAAGCCTCGGCTTGTGATCGGTCCACAGATGGTGTGAGTGTCCTGGACGCTGGTTAATGATGAGTGTGATTGAGTTAACCGGTTAACTCTGCTTAACTCAGACTCAGTTCACAGCTCGACTGAACAAATCTGAATCAGGAACGTCGCTGAGAGTTCAACGCTAGTCGTTTTTCAACTACTTTACTAGATTGCTAGTGTAGGTTAATTCCAGAGCTTCAGTTTCTCAAATGTATTTGCCTTAATTTTATTTTAGATTCTAGAGATCGGTTCACATGCGGCGTGTCTTATAGCACTTTACCGACTCGCGGGAGGAAAACAATCGGTGAGCTGTAGCCGCTGGATTCGTTCGGAGTAAACGAGCACTAAAGCAAACGAATATGCAACTGCTTCCTGATCGGACGACGCGCGCAGAGCTGAAATCACATCATGGGATCCGGAACGATCCGGAACGTCCACGAGGTCTTGCGCTTCACCAGGAGACACAGCCACTCTGATTCCGAGTCACTGAATTAATGAATCTTTAATTGAACACAATCTCATTCACTCGCTGCCAAATAGTGACTCGCGGAAACCAAGCGTGGACGAGCCAATCCCATGATTCGGTCTGCGCTCGTCTGTCCGCTCCGGGAATATCGGGTCCGGTTTAGCTGTGCTCGCTTTTACTCCAGAGAATCGCTGCTAACAGAAAGTCAACAGCTGGAGAGAGAAACTATACTAGTACTAGTACTGTACTAACTATACTATACTACTATTCACATTACTAATGTAGATTGAAGTCTCATAGATGTTCAGAATCATTCAACATTTGTGTAATAAATATTCCATATTATAACGGAGTAATTGGCCATATGCAGATTTGAATCTGGCTGTTTAAATGGCAAACTAGTTAGTTGGTAACTAACTACCTATGGGTTACTTTTTTATTATATTTTAGTCATAGATGTTCAGAATCATTCATTTGTCATTTTTAATCATATATATTCCATATTATGACTGAAGTAATTGGCCAAATGCAAACTTTAATCTGATCATTTAAATTCCAAACTGGTTAGTCGGTAACTGAATACCTGTGGGTTGTTATTTTTATTATATTTTAGTCATAGATGTTCAGAATCACTAGTTTGCCATTTTTATAATATATGTCCCATGTTATAACTGGCCAAATGCAGACTTTAATTCGGCTGTTGAAATCCCAAACTAGTTAGTTGGTAACTAACTACCCGTGGGTCGTTCTCCCTCCAGCCGTGGCGTGATGTCTTCCCTTTACAGAGACAGCCGATTGTTTCCTGTGAGATGCCAGTGTGTCACATGCCCCTGTCAGCCAATCAGGTGGCTGTTGACAGGAAGTGGCATTGTGTGCATCATGAACATGATGATGATGATGAGGTAGTTTAGTGGAGAGAGTTGCAATATACAGACTGTTTGCCTTTTGATAATGTAGTTTGTTGTTTAGTTCAGATTAAAGACGTATTAGTTGTTTTTGTTATTGTTGCTTCTCGTTTAAAGGTCATTTTTGTTTCATTAAATGAACGGCAGATTTGAGCTGTTCACTCGCCTTTTGCTTTAGTCACTCCGTCATCAGCTTGTCTGAGAGGCTCGTTAATGTGAGTGTGCCTTCCAGTCGCCAGTACAGACTCGTGTGTGTGTGTGTGTGTGTGTGAGAGAGAGTGTGTGTGTGTGTGTGTGTGTGTGTGTGCGTGTGAGTGTGTGTGTGAGAGAGTGCGTGTGTGCGTGTGCGTGTGCGTGTGTGTGTGCGTGTGAGAGAGTGCGTGTGTGTGTGTGTGTGTGTGTGTGAGAGAGAGTGTGTGTGTGTGTGTGTGTGTGTGTGTGCGTGTGAGTGTGTGTGTGAGAGAGTGCGTGTGTGCGTGTGCGTGTGCGTGTGTGTGTGCGTGTGAGAGAGTGCGTGTGTGTGTGTGTGTGTGTGTGTGAGAGAGAGTGTGTGTGTGTGTGTGTGTGTGTGTGTGCGTGTGAGTGTGTGTGTGAGAGAGTGCGTGTGTGCGTGTGCGTGTGCGTGTGTGTGTGCGTGTGAGAGAGTGCGTGTGTGTGTGTGTGTGTGTGTGTGAGAGAGAGTGTGAGTGTGTGTGTGTGTGTGTGTGTGTGTGAGTGTGTGTGTGAGAGAGAGTGCGTGTGTGTGTGCGTGTGCGTGTGCGTGTGTGTGTACCCTCTGTTGCCTTCATGTTTGAAATGCCCTGATAATTACATCTGGAATGCAAAACATCTGCATCAGAATGCATCTGATGCACTTTTGATTTTGTGATATTGAGCACAAGATGAAACCAGATGCCGGCTCTGGTTCACAGATGTCTGCTCATCTTCATCTTCATGTTGCTTTAAGTTCGTTTCACAGTCTGGACGAATGAGTTTCTGGGCTTTTAATCAAATCACTGCAGGCTTTCCGTGTGAGAAGAGGCATTTCCAAAGAAGGACTTTCTCTCCAACTCTTTGTCATGGGTGATTGAAGCTCTTATGTTTTCTCTGCGGTTGCAGTATGAACATATTTACATCGAGGATCAGAGTTAGTGACTGTGCTTCAGATGTGCTCGTGTGTGCGGCTCAAACACGTGTTCACACCTGTTATCTTCAGTAAAGACCGCTTACGTGTCACTCTTTTATTTTTATTTATATCAGATCCTGAAAGTGTTACCGTGTTTCTCTTTGGGACAGTGTCTATAACACACAATCTTATACAATCTCATGCATTTCAATTAGCTGCCAATTAAACAAATAAAACATTTTATAAAGTAATGCATGTGCAGGTTGTTGTTTTTTTTATTCCTCCTTTGTGTTTGTATACATTGTGTGGTTTATGTATTTTGTGGTTTTAAAGATAAAAAATGTTGATAAAATAAAAGATATGAATACAAAGCACCTCAGAAATGGACTTGCACTGCCTTTAATGCTATTTATGTTTGTAATGTAAATCAGTGAGATCTTTCTTACAGTACAGCAGATAAAATGATCTAAATATCAGTCGTGGCTCTATATCTCCAGTAATAATAAGATGAGATTGAAATGCTCCAAACATACAATGCAGTGATTGAGAGCTGAAGAAATAAAGGCTCCTCAGAAGATGTGAGATGTTCTGGAGGCTTGTGAAGATCATTCCTCCGCTGAGGAACAGTGAAAGTAAAGCTTCTGGAAACAAACGCTCCTCAAAAGATCCTGAGGATCAGATTTGAGACTCTAAAACATGATTGATGGAGAATCAAGTAAAGCTGAGCTGCTTCAGTCCAGTAAGTGTTCATCTGGAGATATTACTGCAGTTATTCTGACGCTTACTTGATAAAAACCAGTCAAGATTTGACACGAGAAGCAGCAGCTGAAGCTGGACGTTTGTACAATTACACTAAAAGAGCTTTGACTGGATTAAAAACTAAACTCTCAATCAGACGACAGAAAGCATGGAGAGTTTGATCATTTACAGTAGGCTTTACAGGGTTAATGACTTTGTGTGTGTTCCTTGTTCTTCTGCGTTTGTGTGGTTTGTGTGAATAGATCCAGCAGGTGGCGCTATAAGACATCAGATCAGTTCATGTCTGCTGCTGAACTTCATGTTTTGTCCAGTAGATGTTTACACACAATATTCCAGAGCATTATACTCATAAAGATTTTAAACATGCTAATTGATATGTAAATATATAATAAACTTTGACTTTATTCCAATTACAATTGATTCATTAATAAGTTGACTGGAGGCTGTTCTGGTTGATTACTATTTATTGATGAAATTATCAAGAATTTAATTCAACACTTGATCATTTTATACAGAATTAACTAGGAATTATTTCATCTTAATGAAGTATGATTAGCTATAATTGTTTAGTAGGAACGTATAATAATATTTATGATGTTTGCCAAACACTGACAAAGTATTTCAAAGTAAAATGCAGGGTAAAAGAAATGAAATACATTTTTTCATTCAATGTTATTTGATGTTTAAAGGCACAGTTCACCTTCTGTCATTCACTCACAAAACAAAAAGAAGATATTTTGAAGAATGCTGGGAACCAAAAAGTTGACGGAGCCCACTGTTAAAAATACTATGGAAGTCGATGGCTACCGTCAACTGTCTGGTTCCCAACATTCTTCAAAATATCTTCTTTTGGGTTCAACAGAAGAAAGAAACTTATTCAGGTTTGGAACAACATGAGGGCGACTAAATGATGACAGAAGTTTCATTTTTGGGTGAACTATCCCTTTAATAATGTTCTCCAAAACATTATTTATACATCATTTATGGAATGTTTTATAGTTGGACGTTCGTCTAAGATGATTAAACAATCCAAAAAATTAGAAAACAATCAAAAGTAGCATTCCCATAATGTTTGCAAAATAATAAAATGGAACGTTCCCCGTAATGCCAACTTTAGCATTCACATAACCAAACAATGCTTTTTATCATTCCAAAATCTGATGTTTCAGAGAACATTCAGAAATAACGTTTTCATAACTTGTCAGTAAAACGTTTTTAGAACATATTTTGCTAGCATCACTGGAGAAGAGCATGGATGTATATTTAACTAATTTCTTTGGTTCATAGAGTGAACTAGAGTTTGTTCTGATCATCCGACTCATTCAGAAGTCTGGAAATCTCTGATAAACAGTTATTGGTGCGATAAGACGGATGTGTCTGGAATTATGGAAACTCTATTGTCCAATAAAGAGGGCGAGAGGAACAGCGTGTTCATTACTACTGCTAGTAGAGCTAGTTAATGTCCAAACAGCTGCTGAACTCACTCTGATAAGAGCAGAAAAACATGTTGTTGTTCTGTTCATATCAAATTTCCATCCGCTTGCATTACACAGTTACAAACTTAATCTGATCATATTTGTCCGTCAGTGAAACTCAGCTCAGATTTCTGCACTCAAAAATTCTCTTTTTTATTAACTAATTGCATCTATTTGATTTTATTTACTGTAAATAATCTTCTTTTA